GGTTGACCCGACCCGACCCGACCCGGCTTTTTCCCATAATAATCACATTACGACCACGCCGGGCTCTGAATCCGGACCGCCCGGCCCGGATTTATTACCTTTTTCCCATAATAATCACATTACGACCACGCCGGGCTCTGAATCCGGACCGCCCGGCCCGGATTTATTACCCTCTTGAAAATTACCACTCCTCGCTTGGATATTAGATAACAGACCAATTTAATTAATTAATTTAGTTGAAGCTCTGTTAGTCCGAGCTACCTCATGTAAGACGTGATGGCATCTGAATTTCCCCTGACTTAACGGCAAATCAGTTATTCTCATCAGATAACCCAATTTCCTCCTTTCTCTTTCTCTGTTGGATCCAGATGATGTATTTTCATGCTTTCTTTCTCCCATTTAATTTTCTGCTCTTCTCTCTCACTCCCACTCTCCCTCTCCCCATGCCCCCTCTTTCTTTTAACCATCTGCAGGCAGCCTGCACCAATTTTCCCCTCAATATTGGACTTCTCTTTATACATACTTAAGACTTAAATCATCATTCAAAGAAGAGAATTTAGAAGTGTAATAGATTTTGGAGAAATAATTTTGAATTGTAGCTGCAGAAGATCATATCAATGTAACTATTACATGTTAACAAAGACACCATAAAAACTTTATGTAGTGCTAGGAAGCATGATGCTGGCACATACACAATGCATCAAATCCATTACATACAGGACACAAGTAGAAAACAACAAGATTATTTTCTTGTTCTTTAAAAAAAATTGCTTGTATATATGTGCCTAAATATTTACACATAAAAACAAGGCTATGTTTTATCACGTACACAACAACAAGGCTATGTTTTATCAGAAGTAGGGGAAAAAATAGCAAAAGGGTCCTGATAATTTATGTAGTTTTAATCAAGTAATTAATCAAATTAAAAACTTGAAAGTTCTGCCTAATATGTTACTTGATGCAAGTTTGTGAACATCTCACCATTTTCAAGGTGGACATGCTTCACTAACGTCGTATGCATTTTTGTCAAAGCAAGGCATGGCCCCATGATGTGCAATTAGTGATTTAAAACTTTTAGCACCAACACAGCTGTGACATAATTTCTTGATTTGGTATAAACTCAACAAGAAACTGGAATGTGAGATGTGTCAGACAAGTGTTAGTGTTTGATACATGTTGGACACAGGCAAAGAACTCATTTGAAGTGTCCTTGTTTCACAGGTTAGATGAAAGAAAGAAAACCCAGAAACAGTCAGGTAGTTATTGATCACAAAAGTAAAACATATCGAAACCTGTGTATTTTGTCACTAAACAACTATTCAGCTGGCAATGAGACTTTCACAAAGCATAAAATAATCTAATTAAAGCTTTGCACAAACATTCATGAATGTCATTCATCACTCCCAAAATGAAGACAATATCCACAAACATTCATGAATGTCATTCATCACTCCCAAAATGAAGACAATATCCACAAACATTCATGAATGTCATTCATCACTCCGAAAATGAAGACGTTATCCACAGAACATCTCCACAGAATACACACATACCTCTTGGTTATGATGGACATTGTCTTCGTCAGAACCTCCTGCAATTAAGCCTTCTAGAATTTTCGTAAGCAATGGCGTATAGTTTGGAAACTCCTCCTGCATGCACAACCAGGAACTTTATAAGAAAAAAAGAAACGGAAATGTGCAAAACAATAACTATGGAAAAATAAACACACTCTGTAAGACTATAACTAACCAACAAAAAGGGGAATGGGAAAACTTAATCGACCTTAAGAGAAGCAGAAAATGCATTCCATGCCTTTCGTTCTTCTTCTGAATTTCGCTTTAAGCTCGACAGTATCCTTATTTTAGCATCTCTCACCTGATTAATTAAAAAAATTATACTTTAACCAAGAAATAACGTAAAAACCATAAAGAGAATTGAGTTTTGTAGTCACAAAACTTGAAACAAATAATAGGAGTGTCAATGGTACAGCAGTAAGCTCCAAAAGAACACCTTAAATTACAGAAATATACCAGTTGCCCTTCTTGGACACAATTTGGTGTGACTCGATTGAACTTTGAAATTACAGAAAAATATACAAAAACAACAAACAAAGCCTTTATCCCAAAATTTGGAGTTCATTACATGAATCATGATTTCCATTAAGTTCTGCTGAGGGTTATCTCCTCCACTAGCTTAATTGTTCTCATATCTTTCTTAACAGAAGATAAAGAAATATAAATATATAAGAGATTAATGAGTATCCTTAACAAGGAGGGGGATTTCCTCCTTGACAATGATGTAGCACAATCCCCACCATGTGAAATTCGCTCTCCTACTTTATTCTCTCTCCTTCACATGGTGGAGATTGTGTCACATCATTGTCAATGAGGAAAATCCCCTCCTTGTCAAGGATACCCATTAATCTCAATATATAAATAGTTGTAACGAAGGAAAAGATACACAAACAAGTACTTCACAACTACAAGCATAGATAAGCATGTCATCTATATTAAAAATCTCTGCATGTGAAAATTACCTCTTCCTGCAGCCGCTCAACTATACTTTTACTGCAAATGGAGCTTGCCTTTCCTCTATCCTCATCCATCTATTACACAATAAAAAAATAATTACAGAGATGATCAATGGAGTAAAATAAGATACCATCTCAGAATGAGATAACTAAGGTTCTACCATCTATTTATCATGAGGATAAGCATGTCTCTTGTTCTATGCATCCAATCTCAAACAAATCATTAAATATGCAGATAATTTTTGAAAGTAACCCCCTGATCTCACAAGAAGTCAACCCTCCCTTAAATACATCTCTCTCGAGATTGGAGGCAGGCCACAAAATTATGAGCGTCCAAACACAAGTCTGTTAGAACTAGTATTTGGGTTATCGGGTCAGGACCCATTAACCCATTAGCCTATTACTCATATGTACTCCTATATAAACCCATGTTAATGAATGAAAGAGGTACTCTCTAAATTGGTTGATATATATGCTCCAGCTTGAGGGGGAGTGTTAGAATTAGTATTTGGGTTATCGGGTCAGGACCCATTAACCCATTAGCCTATTACTCATATGTACTCCTATATAAACCCATGTTAATGAATGAAAGAGGTACTCTCTAAATTCTCAATACTAACATGGTATCAGAGAAACCCTAACCCTAACCTTTTTTTTAGCAGCCGCCTCTCAACCTC